CATCTCGGATTCCGCACGAAACTCAAACTCTCAACCCCGCGGCTCATGGGCCACTGGACTAGGTTCCCCTAGCGGTACTCCTTTCCCTACCGACTCCAAGAAAACCCGAAACTCCAACAGAAACAGAGAGATTCCTGGCTTTTGTTCCGTTACTTCGGACAACAGAAATAAGGGTAGGGGGTAGGGGTAAGGTGGATGATAAACTCCGATAAACCCTAAACCCTAAGCCCTAAGCCCTAAACCCTAACGAGCGAAGCCTCGAGCTGTGAGAGCCGCAGGCTTAGTCCACGGAAAGACCCAATGACCCCTACGATGACCACTGCCGTTCCACACCACTGTCTGTCTTGCTTTGCGGTAGCCTTTCCGAAAACGACTGGCAGTGCGTCCGAGACATTGGCAATGAAAGAATTGCGGTTGTGCTTTTCGCCAGCAAAACCTACCACCTCTTCAAGCTCGACTGTTTGAGGATGAAGGATTGAAATCGGGAGTGCACAGGCTCTGTTGGGCCTACCTAAACCCTAAACCCGTAAACCCGTAAACCCTCAACCCTCAACCCTCAACCCTCAACCCTCAACCCTCAACCCTCAACCCTCAACCCTCAACCCTCAACCCTCAACCCTCAACCCTCATACCCTCATACCCTCATACCCTCAACCCTAAACCCTCAACCCTCAACCCTTAACCCTCAGCCCTAAACCCTAGGCCCTAAACCCTAAACCCTAAACCCTAAACCCTAAACCCTAAACCCTAAACCCTAAACCCTAAACCCTCTCTTACTATGTATATTTAAACCCTAATGACCTTCGTCGGCAAATGGTTTTTTTCCACCCGGGGGGGGCCCTAAACCCTGACCCCCTTCGTCGGCAAATGGTTTTTTTCCACCCGGGGGGGGCCCTAAGGGATCCCTCTGTCCGACATGCAAATTGGGGGTCCGACATGCAAGGTTGGGTTTTCGAGATGCAAACTTTCTTGGGGTCCGACATGCAAAGGTAGGTTTTCGAGATGCAAACTTGCTTGGCTGCTTGGACCTGAATCTCATCCAGCGACAGACATGCAGGCTTGCTCCTGACAGCGTAGTACTATCCCAAAAGTGGTAGTATCTGTCCGAAAAGAAACATCAGTAAATTAGTAAAATAGTAAAATAGTAAAATAGTAAAATAGTAAAATAGTAAAATAGTAAAATAGTAAAATAGTAAAATAGTAAAATAGTAAAATAGTAAAATAGTAAAATAGTAAAATCTGGGTCGATGCAAACTGCTGAGCCGGTGGAGGAAATCCTATTAAAAGTAAGAAGAGAGGGATGAATTTTCTCTGGATTTCCCGCGAAATCAGTAAAGCGGTAATTTCGGGGTCCAACTGGCACAGGTGGGTTTTCGAGATGCAAACTCCTGATTTCCCGTAAAATTAGTAAAATAGTAAAATAGTAAATTAGTAAAATCTGGGTCGGACCGGTGGGTTTTCGAGATGCAAACTCCTGATTTCCCGTAAAATTAGTAAAATAGTAAAATAGTAAAATCTGGGTCGGACCGGCACAGGTGGGTTTTCGAGATGCAAACTGCTGAGCCCGTGGAGGAAATCCTATTAAAAGTAAAGAGAGAGGGAGGAATTTTCTCTGGATTTGCTGCGAAATCAGTAAAGCGGTAGATTCTGGGTCCAACCGGCACAATCCTATTAAAAGTAAAGAGAGAGGGAGGAATTTTCTCTGGATTTTGCGCGAAATCAGGAAAGCGGTAATTTCTGGGTCCAACCGGCACAGGTGGGTTTTCGAGATGCAAACTCCCGATTTCCCGTAAAATTAGTAAACTAGTAAAATAGTAAAATCTGGGTCGGACCGGCACAGGTGGATTTTCGAGATGCAAACTGCTGAGCCCGTGGAGAAATCCTATTAAAAGTAAAGAGAGAGGGAGGAATTTTCTCTGGATTTCGCGCGAAATCAGTACAGCGGTAAATTCTGGCTCCAACCGGCACAGGTGGGTTTTCGAGATGCAAACTCCTGATTTCCTGTAAAATTAGTAAAATAGTAAAATCTGGGTCGGACCGGCACAGGTGGGTTTTCGAGATGCAAACTGCTGAGCCCGTGGAGGAAATCATATTAGAAGTCAAAAGAGAGGGAGGAAATTTCTCTGGATTTCGCGCGAAATCAGTAAAGCGGTAAATTCTGGGTTCAACCGGCACAGGTGGGTTTTCGAGATGCAAACTCCCGATTTCCCGTAAAATTAGCAAAATAGTAAAATAGTAAAATCTGGGTCGGACCGGCGCAGGTGGGTTTTCGAGATGCAAACTGCTGAGCCCGTGGAGGAAATTCTATTAAAAGTAAAGAGACTGGGAGGAATTTTCTCAGTAAATCGGTAAATTCTGGGTCCAACCGGCACAGGTGAGTTTTCGAGATGCAAACTCCCGACTTCCCGTAAAATTAGTAAAATAGTAAAATAGTAAAATAGCAAAATCTGGGTCGGACCGGCACAGGTGGGTTTTCGAGATGCAAACTGCTGAGCCCGTGGAGGAAATCCTATTAAAAGTAAAGAGAGAGGGAGGAATTTTCTCTGGATTTTGCGCGAAATCAGGAAAGCGGTAATTTCTGGGTCCAACCGGCACAGGTGGGTTTTCGAGATGCAAGCTCCCGATTTCCCGTAAAATAGTAATATAGTAAAATAGTAAAATAGTAAAATAGAAAAATAGAAAAATAGTAAAATAGTAAAATCGTAAAATAGTAAAATCTGGGTCGGACCGGCGCAGGTGGGTTTTCGAGATGCAAACTGCCGAGCCCGTGGAGGAAATCCTATTAAAAGTAAAGAGAGAGGGAGGAATTTTCTCTGGATTTCGCGCGAAATCAGTAAAGCGGTAATTTCTGGGTCCAACCGGCACAGGTGGGCTTTCGAGATGCAAACTCCCGATTTCCCGTAAAATAGTAAAATAGTAAAATAGTAAAATCTGAGTCGGACCGGCGCAGGTGGGTTTTCGAGATGCAAACTCCCGAGTTCGCGTAAAATTAGTAAAATGATAAAATAGTAAAATAGTAAAATAGTTAAATAATAAAATCTGGGTCGGACCGGCACAGGTGGGTTTTCGAGACGCAAACTGCTGAGCCCGTGGAGGAAATCCTATTAAAAGTAAAGAGAGAGGGAGGAATTTTCTCTGGATTTCGCGTGAAATCAGGGAAAGGGCAATTTCTGGGTCCAACCGGCACAGGTGGGTTTTCGAGATGCAAACTCCCGATTTCCCGTAAAATTAGTAAATAGTAAAATAGCAAAATCTGGGTCGGACCGGCACAGGTGGGTTTTCGAGATGCAAACTGCTGAGCCCGTGGAGGAAATCCTATTAAAAGTAAAGAGACAGGGAGGAATTTTCTCTGGCTAATAGAATCCTGGTCCGACATGCAAGGTTGGGTTTTCGAGATGCAAACTCCCGATTTCCCGTTAAATTAGTAAAATAGTAAAATAGTAAATTAGTAAATTCTGGGTCGGACCGGCACAGGTGGGTTTTCGAGATGCAAACTGCTGAGCCCGTGGAGGAAATCCTATTAAAAGTAAAGAGACAGGGAGGAATTTTCTCTGGATAATAGAATCCTGGTCCGGCATGCAAGGTTGGGTTTTCGAGATGCAAACTCCCGACTTCCCGTAAAATTAGTAAAATAGTAAAATAGTAAAATAGTAAAATAGTAAAATAGTAAAATAGTAAAATCTGGGTCGGACCGGCACAGGTGGGTTTTCGAGATGCAAACTGCTGAGCCCGTGGAGGAAATCTTTTTAAAAGTAAAGAGACAGGGAGGAATTTTCTCTGGATAATAGAATCCTGGTCCGACATGCAAGGTTGGGTTTTCGAGATGCAAACTCCCGATTTCCCGTAAAATTAGTAAAATAGTAAAGTAGTAAAATCTGGGTCGGACCGGCACAGGTGGGTTTTCGAGATGCAAACTGCTGAGCCCGTGGAGGAAATCCTATTAAAAGTAAAGAGACAGGGAGGAATTTTCTCTGGATAATAGAATCTTGGTCCGACATGCAAGGTTGGGTTTTCGAGATGCAAACTCCCGATTTCACGTAAAATAGTAAAATAGTAAAATAGTAAAATAGTAAAAGAGTAAAATAGTAAAATAGTAAAATAGTAAAATCTGGGTCGGACCGGCACAGGTGGGTTTTCGAGATGCAAACTGCTGAGCCCGTGGAGGAAATCCTATTAAAAGTAAAGAGACAGGGAGGAATTTTCTCTGGATAATAGAATCCTGGTCCGACATGCAAGGTTGGGTTTTCGAGATGCAAACGGCTTGGTGCCATGCATCTCGGGCGCGCGCTTTGCATCTCGAAAACCCAACCTTGCATGTCGGACGCCGCAGTCCCAGGGTTTGTGGGAACCTCGTAGAACCCCCCCCCGAATTCCAAAAAGGGTTTAGGGTTTAGGTACAGCAGACCTTTGTAGGCTTTAGTGGGGGTTGGTGGGGGATAGGGCCTAGCGTTCCCGACCGAACCCTACACCCCAAACCCCAAACCCCAAACCCCAAACCCTAAACCCCAAACCCCAAACCCCAAACCCTAAACCCTAAACCCTAAACCCTAAACCCCAAACCCTAAACCCTAAACCCTAAACCCTAAACCCTAAACCCTACACCCTAAACCCTAAACCCTTCCAGCATCCTTCAGCTTGATCGGCTCAAGCCGAGGTGCAACCCTCTGAACAACCCCTCTGGATCTTCAAAGCTCAACCCTATGCCCGAAATCCTTCAACCCTAAACCCTAAACCCTAAACCCTGAACCCTAAACCCTAAACCCTAGACCCTAGACCCTAGACCCTAAACCCTAAACCCTAAGCCCCAACCTTTACGACGGCTCTGAACCCGAAACCCTCTCGGCCCCCTTATAGGGCCTTCAGGCCCTTCTTACCCTGACCTAAGTCCTAATGATGCACCCGAATGGACTCTCTAAACGTCCCTAAGCCCTGGAGACTTCGGCGTTTGAAGCAAGTCGAAGTGGCTCCTGAAGGCGCCGTTGGTGAGGAAGGCGAGGCAAATGGCGCGCGCCGGCACGTGCTTGGCTTGGTCCCTGGCCCTGGTCGCCGCCTGGGCTACCCGGCTGAAGATCGGCTGATGGTGCTTAAGACCCTAAACCCTAAACCCTAAACCCTAAACCCTAAACCCTAAACCCTAAACCCTGAATGCCCTAGTATTCTGGAGCCAGGGCTTCCGTGTCCTTCCGTTCCGCCCCATGTAAGGAAGCCCAAGACCCCTTAGGGTCATATACTTTCCTTCTGTTAGTGTAGGGCAGGGTTGAGGGTTTCAAGGGGTTCAAGACCGCAGGCCGCGTTCCTGGCCACCAACGCAGGGCAGTGGCAGCTGCAGCGCACGCTGACATTGCTGTGGATGAAGTTTGGAACCTCGGCGATGACCCTGAGCCCAGAGAAGCCTAAGCCCAGGGATCTTTGTGTTGGGCGAGTGAGGCTAGTTGTGTGGTGCAAAATGAACGGGTTTAGGTGGTGGTGGCCTGATCCAGGGCTTTCTAGGCCAAGTGTTTAGCCGGAACGCCTGGGGCAGTTTGCAATACAGAGGCGATTCCCACGCCTGTCTCCCACCAATAACAACCTGAATAATCCCTTCGCCCCTTCTTCAGAAACTAAATCCTAAACCCTAAGCTCTTAAAAGCTCTTAACCCTAAACCCAAAACCCAAAACCCTAAACCCTAAACCCTAAACCTTCAACCCGAAACCCTAAACCTTAAACCCCAAGCCCTAAGCCCTAAACCCTCAAGCAGCCGAGGCACCGACGGTCGCCTGCGGCGGCGCTACGAGCACTCCTTCCCGGGCTTCGGCCCCTACAACTTCTCCGTGGGAGCCTGGCCCCCCATCGAGAGGCCCGGGTCTCTTCGGGTTCAGGGTTTAGGGTTTAGGGGTTCTGGGGGAGGGGGGGCGTGAAATTTTGGGGGTCATGGGATTTTGGGGTTCGAAGGTCCTTCACGCGTAGTTTTTATGTTTCCTTCGGTGACCGCGTCTCCTTTCCAGAGTTGATGCTTGGGGGAGTCTTTTGGGTGAGTGCCGAGCCTTAAAGAAACCGTGTAAAGCTTCAGGCTTCGGAAGACAGGGATGTTGATGGCCTCAGGGTCAATTCGGCTTGAACTTCAATCAGCGGGGACATTAGAGCTTTCTTTGACGGCTTCGCAGGGGTCTCCCTACCCCCCCTCCAAATCCCAAGTCCCAAACTCTTTCAAAACCCCACAGGAGCAGGCCTCCCAAACCTGGAGCCATCAAACCCCAAAGCGTAAGCCTTAAGCCCTCTTACTACCCGAGGCCCTGAACCCTAAGTCCCGAACCCTAAACCCGAAACCCCGAAACCCCCCAAACCCTAAGCCCGAAACCCTAAACCCTAAACCCTAAACCCGAAACCCGAAACCCGAAACCCTAAACCCCACGGCTGCCAGGAGGAGTCTGGCCTCCCTCTCCTCCCAGGAGTTCGAGGAGAGGTATGTGAAGGCCCGGCGGCCCGTGCCGCGCGGCAGCTCTTGGAGGGGTTTAGGGTTTAGGGTTTAGGGTTTAGGGTTTCGGGCTTAGGGCTGTATCATCTGAGGTCACGAAAACCCTGAACCCCCACACCTCCCAAACGCCCCCAAAACCCCCCAAGCCCTGAAACCACTGAACCGGTCAGCGACCCTTAATCTTATTCCCCCTATAAAACCCTTATATATACCTTATATAGTCCCTATGTATCTAAGTAGCCCCGAAATAAGCCCAAAGAACCCCTAAGGTCCCTTATAAGGGTCCTTCCTTTAGTTCCTTGATGCAAGGATTCTCACCGACGTGGCGCCAGAGAACACTTGGAGCCCGAAAACGCTGAAATCCAGGTGTGGGCAGATGCCGCTGACCTTCCATCGGAGCGGGGGGGGGGGGGGGGGGAGGTTTAGGGTTTAGGGTTTAGGGCTTTTGGTTTTTGGGTTTAGGGTAAGCTTGATGGCTTGAGACCATCACCCTATGCTTTCGGTGCAGGGTTTTCAAACTGGGAGGCATGCTTTTGGGCCCTCCCAAAAACAGCTGTGCCGGCTGAGCTTTCTGTCAACAAACCCACACTTTTCGAATTTCCCCAAAATCTCGAAAGAAAAAACGGCTTCGATTCTTGAGGGCGTCAAGCCTTCCGTCCTCCAGGAGGTATTCCGCCGGGCTCCGCGCGATCCCGGCCAGACTTCGGAAGCTCTTTCTGGACTCCAGGCAGGGTTTTGGAGAGCTCAGGGGCCGACTCAGGGGGTCTTTGGGGGTGCTGTAGGGTTTGAGGTCCGGGGGTTTTGGGTTAGGGTCCAGAGTTTAGACCCTAAACTCTGAACCCCAAACCCGAAACCCTAAACCCCTTTAGGCCTTTAAGGCTTTAAGCCGAGTTGCCTTCCTTCATGCGAGGCTGATGGAAGCCTACAACCAGACGACGGACGACGTAATTCAGGCCATGCATCGACAAAGATCCATGAAGGACAGGGTTTAGGGTTTAGGGTCTAGGGTCTAGGGTTGAGGGTTGAGGGTTGAGGGTTGAGGGTTGAGGGTTGAGGGTTGAGGGTTTCATGCGCCCTTTTACTCACTTTATGCTTTCACCTTTGGATCTAGGATGTAATCATTCGGGCGCTCACTCGTTCACTCACTAAATTCATGCACAAGTTGATAATTTAGTTTCGTTTTCTCGTTTACGCGGTTCGCAAGCTCACTGTAATAATAAGAAAGAACCGCGTGAAGGAAGTCATGACACGTGAATACTAAAACCGCGGGCCGTTCATTGCGCTCGTTTCTCTCGCTTATTCACTTCACTTTCTAGGAGTTAACCTGTGATAGAATACGCCCGTCCCACGAAAACCCCAATTAAAATCATGCGTCACGCACTCGTTTCACTCCCTAGTTTCCTTATATTTTGATAGGAGTTCTCGTTTACACGGTTAATCCTGGTTTCGGGTTGAGGGTTGAGGGTTGAGTGCAGGGTTGAGGGTTGAGGGTTGAGAGTTGAGGGTTTAGGGTTTAGGGGTTGGGTGCTTCGGGTGATCCGAAATGGACCGCACTGCCTGTAAGAAGAGCCTGAAATTCCTCGCACTCCCTCGCCCCATCCGACCCTGCGCAGGTACTATGAAGGTCTAGACCCGGAACACCCCGTCTCGTTCGGGAGCTCGGGAGTAAGAGCAGGTATCTTGTATCCCCCCTCCAGAGTACCCAAGTCCCGACTTCCCCCATGACCATCCAGCGGAGAGGAGTACGTTGCAGATTTGCCTCTGGACGCGCAGATCATCGCCAAAGGAAAGAGCCACTCTGGTGTGCGCCTAGGCGGTTACCTGTTACCTTCGATCTGAGAGTTAAGAGACCTTGGTTTTTTTAGGGGAAGACCTTTCTACGGTATCGCAGTTCGGACGTAGGGGGAGGTGGCCTCGTTGAACACCGGAACTCGCAGCCTCTTGAATCCTGAGCCCTATATTCAGGCCCCCAGCTCCCTAAGCCGTCTGAAGGTACAAGGACCAGATCGTGGATTACATCTTCCCAGTCATGGTCAGCGCACAGGAGTTTTACGAGTCCGCCTGCCCCGACTTGCTCCCTCGCTGGGTTCTTGTAGAAGGGGGGGGGGGGGGGCTTCTCCGGGCTTTTGGGGTTCGAAGGTTTCCGAGACAGGGGCCCGGCGGCTACAGTTACCCAGGAGGGGTGTCCACTCGTGCCTGTTGTTTGGGGGTGTACTCTTCTCCGTGTGATCATGGAGGGACCTTTCTTGCTCAGCAACCCTAGCGTGTTTAGAGCTCGAAGTCTCTGAGGCTGGAGGGTGCCTTTGGGGTGGAGCCTCAAGCCAAGCACCCGCAAAGCCCCTACACCCTAAACACCCCCTCAACCCTGAGCACCCCCCAAAAGCCCTGATAAGCCCCAATAAACCTGAATCCCTCATCCCACCCAGCACTCGAAGCCTAGAGAAGCGACCAGGAAACTACCCTAAGACCCCCCCGCCAACCCTAAACCCTAAACCCTAAACCATATACCCTAAACCCTAAACCCTGAACCAGAAACCCAAACCCTAAACCCGAAACCCCAAACCCCAAACCCCAAACCCGAAACCCTAAACCCGAAACCCCAAACCCCAAACCCTAAACCCTAAACCCTAAACCCTAAACTGAGAAGCCGAAGATGAGGTTCGCAGAGGGCAGCCGTGTCTTGAAGCGGCTCCTGGCCTTCGCCTCTCTGCCCGGTCTTGGGGTTGTTAGGGGCTTTTGAGGGGTTTAGGGTTTAGGGTTTGGGGTTTAGGGTTTAGGGTTTGGGGTTTAGGGTTTGGGGTTTGGGGTTTAGGGTTTGGGGTTTGGGGTTTAGGGGGCCCACTATCATGCAGCAGAAAAGAAAGAAGGCCCTCAAGACTTAGGCCTTTACGTTTTAGGGGGTCAAAATGGTGCGTCAACCTTGGCCCACTTCCTGCCTCGATGCTGCAAGCTTCGTGTCTAGGGTTTAGGGTTTAGGGTTTAGGGTTTATGTTTAGGGTTTATGGGTTTAGTTTGGGGCTTCAGCGGTCTGGTCTTCTCCCCATCCTGTTCCTGGATGCCGGGGTTGTTCTCGGACCCTGAACCCCAAAAGCCTAAGCCCCTAAACCCGGCTGAGCCCGGAAGGCAGAACAGAACCTCCGATGCCCCAACTCTAAATGCCTAAACCCGAAAAGAGGAAGCCCTAAACCCTATAGACCCGAACCCTAACCCTAAACCCTAAAAAGACGAAACCCGAAAGCCCGTACCCGAAGGCTCCGCTTCCTGGCCTTGGGTTTGGGTTTACGGGTTACGGATTAGGGGTTAGGGGTTAGGGGTTAGGGGTTAGGGTCTTAACCGGCATTGTCGGTTAAGGCCTGCGAAGGAGTCTATAGCTGACACTCTCAAGTCAATCCTTGACTTCGCAGCAAGCCCCAAAACGCCTCAAACCTCAACCCGAAACCCCTAAGCCCTACACTCCTAAACCCCTAAACCCCTAAACCCCTAACCCCCTAAACCCCTAAACCCCTAAACCCCTAAACCCCTAAACCCCTAAACCCCTAAACCCCTAAACCCCTAAACCCCTAAACCCCTAAACCCCTAAACCCCTAAACCCTAAACCCTAAACCCTCAACCCCCTAAACCCCTAAACCCTAAACCCGAAAAGTTAGGACTGGGGGTATCTTGGTTGGCAGCTTCTCTGAGGCGGCCGACGGCCGCCCCAACAGCCCGCAGTTCAAGCAGATGTATCCGGCCTCTCGCCTTTCCCTCTCTTTGCGGGAGTTTAGGGTTTAGGGTTTAGGGTTGAGGGTTTAGGGTTTAGGGTTTAGGCCGGTTTAGGGCTTAGTCTGGGGCTTAGGCTTTCAGGGTTCAGTGGTTTAGTGTTCAGGCTCTAGGCGTCATGGGTATGCTTCAAGGGGGGAAGCACACCTACTAAAGCCCACAGCCTGAATAAGAAACGAAGTCTGGAAACGTTGGGTGCAGGGTTTAGGGTTTAGGGTTCAGGGTTTAGGGTTCAGGGTTTAGGGTTTAGGGTTCAGGGTTTAGGCGAGCAAAATGTGTTGATGGCCTGGACAAAGCCCAAACCTTAGACCCCAAACCTTCAACAACTCCTCGCAACCAGCTAATTCTGGGGACTGTATGGGGCTTACCCCAAACCCCTTAGCCCGAAACAGCAGGTCTAAGCAACATCCTCTGGTTTTAGGGTGAGCTCCTCAACCCTAGACCTTAAACCAGAAACCCTAAACCCTAAACCCCAAACCCTAAACCCTAAACCCCAAACCCTAAGCCCTAAACCCCAAACCCTAAACCCCAAACCCAAGAAAGCCCCCAGGTGCTCTTCGTAGCGCCTCAAGGCTCACGGGCCATTCCTCTGCACCAGCACGGCCCTTACAACGACAACCTGCTACCTTGGCCGCAGGAGTGTTTAGGGTTTATAGGGTTCATAGGGTTTATATTAGGGCTTTTGTAGGGTTGTTATAGGGTTTATGGGGTTTATAGGGTTTGTATAGGGTTGATTGGGGTTTAGAGGGTTTATGGGATTTATAGGGTTTATAGGGTTTATAGGGTTTAGGGTTTTGCGGTTAGGGTTTAGGGTGCAGGGTTCACGGCTTCTAGGGCGATTCCAGGGTGTGTGTGTGTGTGTGTGTGTGTGTGTGTGTGTGTGTGCACCCTGATTCTAAGCTAAGGGTTTTGGAAAGTCTCTGAGGCTTGGCCGGACATTTCGTATAGAAGACTGACGGTGAATGTGTTTTATGCAGGGGGCGCGAGGTCCTTTGACATAGCTCGCGCCAACGAAGCTCTATGTCATCGGGCAGGAAAACGTACCTGCGCGTGGAGTACCTGGGCAAGTTGTTGCAGCTGGTATCCACTACACTGCTTGTGACATCATGTACCCTCAAAACCCGGAATCCTCGGTCCTCAAATAATTTCAAGTCCGAACGCTCCAGATGGCTTGCACCTTGGGACATCGGCCACAATTTCGTCACCATGCATAAGATCTTCGGACAGGGAAGCCAGTGAGAGTTTACTCTCTTATCTCCGTGTGTGGCCTTGTTGCCAATCGCAGTTATCCCGCGAGGGAGCTGTACGGGTCGTTGTGCGACTCACCATGGTACCATGGAGGCCCAATAACCTGGCAGGTTGGGTCGAGAGGCCTAGTGCCACGCATGGAGCCCACTAGACCGCTCTCGAGCGATGAGTAACTTTCAGGTGGATGGGCAACAGAGGGCTAGTCCCAAGAGCAAGAATGGTGGGTCTTAGCACCCGTGTGGCCCGAGGTGGGGCCTAATGGAGGTCCTCCGGACCGCAATAGAGGCCTTAGCGCCAATGGAATTTTATGGATGGATTGGCGATGCTCGGCTCCTTATTCAGCCTTAACCTTTTCTTTTTTTTAGTTGCTAGGATCTGTGTGACGCCATGTCTTCTTTCACTTTCCCGTTGTCGGAAGTACCGCATGTTTTGGGCCGTCCCCTCTGACCGAGGGGCGTGTGTGTGTGCACCCTGATTCTAAGCTAAGGGTTTTGGAAAGTCTCTGAGGCTTGGCCGGACATTTCGTATAGAAGACTGACGGTGAATGTGTTTTATGCAGGGGGCGCGAGGTCCTTTGACATAGCTCGCGCCAACGAAGCTCTATGTCATCGGGCAGGAAAACGTACCTGCGCGTGGAGTACCTGGGCAAGTTGTTGCAGCTGGTATCCACTATACTGCTTGTGACATCATGTACCCTCAAAACCCGGAATCCTCGGTCCTCAAATAATTTCAAGTCCGAACGCTCCAGATGGCTTGCACCTTGGGACATCGGCCACAATTTCGTCACCATGCATAAGATCTTCGGACAGGGAAGCCAGTGAGAGTTTACTCTCTTATCTCCGTGTGTGTGTGTGTGTGTGTGGGGGTTTAGGGTTTAGGGTTTAGGGCTCGCAGGGTTTATATGGTTTATGGGGTTAGGGTTTTGCAGAGTTTAGAGGGCTTGACGGGTTCAGGGGCTTTCTTGTGCTTATACCAAAGACCCCAGGTAGGGTGGTGCGTTAATGCTATGAAGCGGCTAAGCCCTAAACCCTAAACCCTAAACCCCAAACCCTAAACCCTAAACCCTCTCTACCTATGTATATTTAAACCTTAATGGGGTCGTACTCCCGGTTTGGTCGTTTAGGATTTAGGATTTAGGATTTAGGATTTAGGATCTAGGATTTAGGATTTAGGATTTAGGATTTTAGGATTTAGGATTTAGGATTTAGGATTTAGGATTTAGGATTTAGGATTTAGGATTTAGGATTTAGGATTTAGGATTTAGGATTTAGGATTTAGGATTTAGGATTTAGGGTTCAGGGGCCTCTCTGGGGAGGCCCGGCTTCGTAATTTAGTATTCCGGGGAAGCCCGGCTTCGTAATTTAGTATTCCGGGGAGGCCCGGCTTCGTAATTTAGTATTCCGGGGAGGCCCGGCTTCGTAATTTAGTATTCCGGGGAAGCCCGGCTTCGTAATTTAGTATTCCGGGGAGGCCCTGCTTCGTAATTTAATATTCCGGGGAGGCCCGGCTTCGTAATTTAGTATTCCGGGGAGGCCCGGCTTCGTAATTTAGTATTCTGGGGAAGCCCGGCTTCGTAATTTAGTATTCCGGGGAGGCCCGGCTTCGTAATTTAGTATTCCGGGGAGGCCCGGCTTCGTAATTTAGTATTACGGGGAGGCCCGGCTTCGTAATTTAGTATTCCGGGGAGGCCCGGCTTCGTAATTTAGTATTCCGGGGAGGCCCGGCTTCGTAATTTAGTATTCCGGTGAAACCCGGCTTCGTAATTTAGTATTCCGGGGAGGCCTGGCTTCGTAATTTAATATTCCGGGGAGGCCCGGGGACTTGCTTCCTCTTGGCTGGGAGGGGCCGTTTTGGTGAAAAAATCCAGAAAACGAGAGCCCACCTGGGACCGTCGATTTCAGTACTAAAAAATCACATTTTAAATAGGGACCCGGGCCGATCCTGGGGTCCCCCTCATTTGGGGTGTTTTTGGAGGCAAACTTTCCCTCTCAAGGGGGGGTCGGAGTTTGAGGCAAGGGGGGGGTCTCCGAAGACTATTTTGCCTTTAAGATTGAAAAATACCACCCCCCCTTGACCAAAACTAGGCTGTGAAAAGGTCGCGGGGGCGGGGATGCCAATCAAAAAAAAACTTTTTTCCAATCAAGAAAAAACTTTTTTCCAATCAAAAAAAAACTTTTCTCCAATCAAAAAAAAAAACTTTCCTTTTTCAGATAGGAGGACAAGAGGGAAGGGAGGAGGAAGGGAGGGACGGAAGGCAGGAAGGAAGGAAGGAAGGAAGGAGGGAGGGCAAGAAGGAAGGAAGGAAGGAAGGAGGGAGGGCAGGAAGGAAGGAAGGAAGGAAGGAAGGAAGGAAGGAAGGAAGGAAGGAAGGAAGGAAGGAAGGAAGGAAGGAAGCAATCTGAGGCACCTTAACTAACTTAAAGTTGCTAAGTTTCTTGAAGCTCCTAAACTTCATTGAAGTCTCTAGGCGTTTTGAGGCCCGTCCTTGAAGTCTCTAATAAGTGTAAAGCTTCTAAGTTCCCTGATGCCCCTAGTCTCTAAGCGTTTTGAGGCCCCTAAACTCCCTTAAGTCTCGAAGTGTTTTCACGCCCCTGAACCCTCTTAAAGTTTCTCGGTTTCTTGAGGCCCCTAAACTCCCTTAACGTCTCTGAGCAATCTGAGGCCCTTAAACTCACCTAAAGTTTCTAAGTTTCTCGAGGCCCCTAAACTCCCGTAAAGTTTCCAAGCGTTTTGAGGGGAGGGCCTATTTTTGGTTTTTTTTGTCGATTTTCTTGGTTTGTCTTAAGAAAACCACCATTCCCTCTATATTTTTTAAAGGATTTGATGCATTTTCGTGGTTTTTCGTACGAAAAGCCGTAATTCCCTCTGTATTTTCATAGGAAAGCGTTATTTCTTGTAGGTTTTAGAAGGAAAGAAGGAAAGAAAGACAGGAAGAAAGGAAGGAAGGAAGGAAGAAGGACCAAAGGAAGGAAGGCAGAAAGGAAGGAAGGAGGGAAGGAAGGAAAGAAGGAAGGAAGGAAGCCTAAACCCTAAACCCTAAACCCTAAACCCTAAACCCTAAACCCTAAACCCTAAACCCTAAACCCTAAACCCTAAACCCTAACCTTGAACCCTGAACCCTGAACCCTGAACCCTAAACCCTAAACCTTAAACCCTAAACCCTAAATAAACCCTAAACCCTAAACCCTAAACCCTAAACCCTAAACCCTAAACCCTAAACCCTAAACCCTAAACCCTAAACCCTAAACCCTAAACCCTAAACCCTAAACCCTAAACCCTAAACCCTAAACCCTAAACCCTAAACCTAACCCTAAACCCTAAACCCTAAACCCTAAACCCTAAACCCTAAACCCTAAACCCTAAACCCTAAACCCTAAACCCTAAACCCTAAACCCTAAACCCTAAACCCTAAACCCTAAACCCTAAACCCTAAACCCTAAACCCTAACCAGGCGTGCTTCAAAGCCCAAGAAACTAGTTGAAAAAACATTGTGTTTGCAAGTGGGGGGGGGGGGCTGCGCCCCCCCAAACCCCCCCGCCTTTTTTTTTGAGCCGTGCAGAGCGTGACCCCCCCACGCTTCTTTTAAGCCGCACCAAGCGTGCTTCAAAGCCCAAGAAACTAGTTGAAAAACATCGTGTGAGCATTGTGTTTGCAAATGGGGGGGGGGCTGCCCCCCCCCCAACCCCCCCGCTTTTTTTAAGCCGTGCAGAGCGTGCTTCAAAGCCCAAGAAACTTGTTGACACCCATCATGTGAGCAGGGTGTTTGCAAATGGGGCTGGGGCTGCGCCCCCCCAACCCCCCCCGCTTTTTTTAAGCCGTACCAAGCGTGCTTCAAAGCCCAAGAAACTAGTTGAAAAACATCGTGTGAGCATTGTGTTTGCAAATGGGGGGGGGCTGCGCCCCCCACCCCCCCCGCTTTTTTTAAGCCGTGCAGAGCGTGCTTCAAAGCCCAAGAAACTTGTTGACGCCCATCATGTGAGCAGGGTGTTTGCAAATGGGGGGGGGGGCTGCGCCCTCCCCCAACCCCCCCCCGCTTTTTTTAAGCCGTACCAAGCGTGCTTCAAACCCTAAACCCTAAACCCTAAACCCTAAACCCTAAACCCTAAACCCTAAACCCTAAACCCTAAACCCTAACCCACCCTAAACCCTAAACCCTAAACCCTAAACCCTAAACCCTAAACCCTAAATAAACCCTAAACCCTAAACCCTAAACCCTAAACCCTAAACCCTAAACCCTAAACCCTAAACCCTAAACCCTAAACCCTAAACCCTAAACCCTAAACCCTAAACCCTAAACCCTAAACCCTAAACCCTAAACCCTAAACCCTAACCAAGCGTGCTTCAAAGCCCAAGAAACTAGTTGAAAAAACATTGTGTTTGCAAGTGGGGGGGGGGGCTGCGCCCCCCCAAACCCCCCCGCCTCTTTTTTTTGAGCCGTGCAGAGCGTGACCCCCCCACGCTTCTTTTAAGCTGCACCAAGCGTGCTTCAAAGCCCAAGAAACTAGTTGAAAAACATCGTGTGAGCATTGTGTTTGCAAATGGGGGGGGGGGCTGCCCCCCCCCCCAACCCCCCCGCTTTTTTTAAGCCGTGCAGAGCGTGCTTCAAAGCCCAAGAAACTTGTTGACACCCATCATGTGAGCAGGGTGTTGCAAATGGGGCTGGGGCTGCGCCCCCCCCAACCCCCCCCCGCTTTTTTTAAGCCGTACCAAGCGTGCTTCAAAGCCCAAGAAACTAGTTGAAAAACATCGTGTGAGCATTGTGTTTGCAAATGGGGGGGGGGGGCTGCCCCCCCCCCAACCCCCCCGCTTTTTTTAAGCCGTGCAGAGCGTGCTTCAAAGCCCAAGAAACTTGTTGACACCCATCATGTGAGCAGGGTGTTTCCAAATGGGGGGGCGGGGCTGCGCCCCCCCCAACCCCCCCCCTTTTTTAAGCCGTACCAAGCGTGCTTCAAAGCCCAAGGAACTAGTTGAAAAACATCGTGTGAGCATTGTGTTTGCAAATGGGGGGGGGCCGCCCCCCCCCAACCCCCCCGCTTTTTTAAGCATACCAAGCGTGCCTCAAAGACCAGAAACTAGTTGAAAAACATCGTGTTTGAGCATTGTGTTGCAAATGGGGGGGGCTGCGCCCCCCCCAACCCCCAGCTTTTTTTCAAAAGCGTGCAGAGCCGTGCTTCAAAGCCCAAGAAACTTGTTGACGCCCATCATGTGAGCAGAAATGGGGGGGGGGGGGGCTGCGCCCCCCCCCAACCCCCCGCGCTTTTTTTAAGCCGTACCAAGCGTGCTTCAAACCCTAAACCCTAAACCCTAAACCCTAAACCCTAAACCCTAAACCCTAAACCCTAAACCCTAAACCCTAAACCCTAAACCCTAAACCCTAAACCCTAAACCCTAAACTAAACCCTAAACCCTAAACCCTAAACCCTAAACCCTAAACCCTAAACCCTAAACCCTAAACCCTAAACCCTAAACCCTAACCAAGCGTGCTTCAAAGCCCAGGAAACTAGTTGAAAAAAACATTGTGTTTGCAAGTGGGGGGGGGGGCTGCGCCCCCCCAAACCCCCCGCCTCTTTTTTTTGAGCCGTGCAGAGCGTGACCCCCCCGCTTCTTTTAAGCCGCACCAAGCGTGCTTCAAAGCCCAAGAAACTAGTTGAAAAACATCGTGTGAGCATTGTGTTTGCAAATGGGGGGGGGCTGCCCCCCCCCCCAACCCCCCCGCTTTTTTTAAGCCGTGCAGAGCGTGCTTCAAAGCCCAAGAAACTTGTTGACGCCCACCATGTGAGCAGGGTGTTGCAATGGGGGGGGGGGGCTGCGCCCCCCCCACCCCCCCCCTTTTTTTTAAGCCGTACCAAGCGTGCTTCAAAGCCCAAGAAACTAGTTGAAAAACATCGTGTGAGCATTGTGTTTGCAAATGGGGGGGGGCTGCGCCCCCCCCCCCAACCCCCCCCCGCTTTTTTTAAGCCGTGCAGAAAGGAGTGTCTGTTTTGCCGCCCAAGACATATATACACATATATATACACACATGCACACTAAACTATACATATCTTTGCGTCGAATGCGGTATCGTCCAAGAGAGGCAAAACCTCTTGTAGACTACCAAGGATTTTTTTTGATTAGGAAAAAGTTTTTTTTTGATTCCCGCTTCTCGAATAGATTCATTCTAGATCTCTTATAAATACCCAAAGAAAGTTTTTTTTGATTGGAAAAAAGTTTTTTCTTGATCTTTGGAAAGTTTTTTTTAGATTGGTCGGGAAAAGTTTTTTTTTGATTGGAAAAAAGTTTTTTTTTGATGGGTTTTCCGCGGGGGCGGCCCTTCATCAGCATTGAAGCTTAAAAACACTGAAAAACATTGAAAAACCTTAAAAAACATTGAAAAACTCTGAAAAACCTTGAAAAGCCTTGAAAAACTTGCAATCCTGAGGTGAAAGCTCCGTTTTGGTCAAAAAATCCAGAAAACGAGAGCCCACCCGGGACCGTCGATTTCAGTACTAAAAAATCGCATTTCTAATAGGGAGCCGGGCCGATCCTGGGGTCCCCCTTCATTTGGGGTGCTCAAGGCGGGTCGGAGTTTGAGGCAAGGAATTTTTGAAACCGGTGAAGGCTCGGTTTTGGTCAAAAAATCCAGAAAACCGACGCGGCTGTGTATTATCCGTGTGCCGAATTGACTAGACGGTGCCGAATCGAGAAAGAATGTTGCGAGCTAAATGATCAACTAAAGTAAGAAAGAAGATATGTAATTCAGATGAAGAGGGATCTGGGAGGGAGGGGTGATGCCAAACACGTAGGGTGATGACAGAAACCCTTAGTGAATGCTTGGACCAGAGATGCTGAACCCTAAACCCTAAACCCTAAACCCTAAACCCTAAACCCTAGACACTCTTAGCAACTACTCCGACCCCTTACAGCAGGTTGTGGATGCTCCATGGATCCAAGCGGGTGGTGGTGGCCGCCCCCTCCTCCACTGAGTTTCTCTACGAGCGGCCGGAATTCGGAGGCGGGCCAAGACAGGAACCGCCCACAATCGAGATGTGACTCTGGCGCCTGTGGGTGGAATTCGAAGTTAAAGCAGCCTTGGGGACCAAAGGAACCCTAAAAAGGTTCATGGTTCGTATACCTTTATAGGAATTATAGTAGTATAGAGTCGATGACCCCAAGCTTAGGGTTCACGTGTTCTTCAAGGAACGCGACAGGGTGCAGAAAACTGTGTTGTGGCACTGGCCTGGCCTCCAAAAACGTACGTTGTTTTCGAAGTACCATCGTCAAAGGGACCTCATCTAATCTGGGGCCCACCACACGCAAGCCTCATTATTATATTATTGTTATTATTGTCCTTGTTATTATTGTAATTTCACTTTCATTTTTGTTTAAATATTTTCCTGTCTTTCGTTTGCGTTTTAAGAACTGGCGGCTGGGCCCAAGTCTGTTTTCGGCACACCTCTTGGGTCCTCATCGCGCCCACTAAACCCTAAGCCCTCAAACCCTTAGAAAGAACCACAAAAGCACCAGAACCTCAAAACACCAAAACCCAAAACCCAAAACCCAATAAGGGGGTCAGAACTATAACCCTAAAAACCCCCTAGAAACCCTAGACACCCTAAGAACCCCAAAGGGGTCGGGAGCGGGGGGACCAGAGTTGAGTTCCACCTCCAAACCTGGGCCTCGAGAGGAAGCGAGTACGCGGATCGAGTCTTCTCCGCAGACTTGGTGCAACCAGACGCAGGTTGGTTTAGGGTTTAAGGTTCAGGGTGTAGGGTTTAGGGTTCAGGGTTTGGGGCTAGGGTTGAGGGTTTAGAGCTTCGAGTTTAGGGTTTAGGGCTTAGGGCGGCTTAGGGGTGTTCAGGGCACGCCTTGGTTGTTGTGGAGGGGCCTCGGCTTGTCTGGCACTTATGAGAATAGTTTCCTAGCAATTTTCTTTATGTTACCACTCCATCATGTGAACACCTGGTACAGGGACCCCTTCAAATTTGCGTTACAGTATTCAGTTTTTTTTGCCTTTTGCAGACCTCCTCCCCGCCTTTGCGGAGCAACAGAAACTTTTCTCTGTTCAGAGAAGCAGTGGTAAAGGCATGAGCCCAAAATTGTGTGTGTTGCAACCAAAAACATGGTCCTCAAGGGGGTTTGCGTCGATCAAATGTCGAATATCCAGTAAAACTCAGTTACGCCGGGTTTCCCCAAGTCAGGGGCCGGGTCTCTTGACTCCTTTCTACTATATTTGGGTGGTAAAAGTGAGAAGGAGCCGTAGTTTTTTCGGAGACATAGAGCCCCTAAGCCGCTTCAACCAGATTCACGCCCTGAACCCTAAACCCTAAACCCTAAACCCTAAACCCTAAACCCTAAACCCTAAACCCTAAACCCTAAACCCTAAACCCTAAACCCTAAACCCTAAACCCTAAACCCTAAACCCTAAACCCTAAACCCTACACCCGAAAAATCCCCAGAGCCCCCTAACATACCCTTGGCCCGAAAGCAGGACGGCAGCCGAACGTGGCGCGCGTGCGAGGCATGGAGGGCGTGGTGGGTGCTGGTGAGCTGATCTACCTTCCGGCGCCTAGCCCGCATTTGGGAGCCCCACCCTTGCTTAGGGTGTAGAGTGCCAGATCATAGGCCCTAATTGAGGCCCTAGTCGCTGAAGCCGTTGAGTTTGGGCCTCCAATACAGTGTGTACAGTGTATTCCTTCGTAGTTCCAGGGTACCACGCAGGGCCCATCAATCCCCCCAATAAGCCCCAAGCTCCCACCATCGGATTTTACAGCCCCCCCCCCCGGACTCGATAACCTACTGTCAGTGCTTGAGACCTGTGAGGTCAACACGCCCCACGCGGTGCAAACCACCGAGAGCAGCCCCAGCGCAGCGAGCTGAGCTCCCCCCAAGCTCCGAGGGACGTGTTGGCCCCCCTTTTTTTGGGTAATGTATTTGGCCCCCCTTTTTTTTGGGGTAATGTGTTTTCCGCCTGGTGCTGTCCCTTCTTTTGTCGTTATGCAAAGGGTTTTTGGAAGCGATGCTTTGGTGGCGGCGTAGGTTTTAGGGTTCAAGAATCTCGGTCGGCCTGCTCCTTGCCACGGGAATCGCAAGTAGGTTTAGTGTCAGGGTCTACGACACTACTATAGGGTTCGGAATAGTTACGAATAGTCTCCCCTTAGATTCCCTTGTAGTAAGGCAAAAACAATCCCCAAAACCCTATTCTAATCATTAAGGCCCCTATATTGCATGAGTACATTGTCCTGGCTGGCTCTGCGGCTGGCTTTGTGGCTTGTGGGTTTCTAAGCGCATGACAGCCAAGGAGGGGTGTTGCTTCAACCTTATTTTTCTCCTTTCAAACTTTGGATAGGAAGGGAGCATCATGAGCATCAGCTGGGTATATTTCCGGCCACATGGCCCCCCCCTAGACGCCAGGCGTTGAAAAACCAACTGCCCAAGTGATTGCGCGCATTTGACGAGGCAGGAGGGGAGCGTCATGAGCTTCAGGTGGGCATTTTTCCGGCCACATGGCCCTGCTAGACGCCAGGCGTTGAAAAACCAACTGCCCAAGTGATTGCGCGCATTTGACGAGGCAGGAGGGGAGCATCATGAGCATCAGCTGGGTATATTTCCGGCCACATGGCCCCCCTAGACGCCAGGCGTTGAAAAACCAACTGCTCATGTGATTGCACGCAATTGACGAGGCAGGAGGGCAGCATCACGAGCATCAGCTGGGTATATTTCCAGCCCCATGGCCCCCCTAGACGCCAGGCGTTGAAAAACCAACTGCCCAAGTGATTGCGCGCATTTGACGAGAGCATCATGAGCATCAGCTGGGTATATTTCCGCGCACATGGCCCCCCCTAGAAAGAAGCCAGGCGTTGCAAAACCAACTGCCCACGTGAGCACGCATTTGACGAGGCAGGAGGGGAGCATCATGAGCATCAGCTGGGTATATTTCCGGCCACATGGCCCCCCCTAGACGCCAGGCGTTGAACAACCAACTGCCCAAGTGATTGCGCGCATTTGACGAGGCAGGAGGGGAGCATCATGAGCATCAGCTGGGTATGTTTCCGCCACATGGCCCCCCTAGACGCGTTGAAAAACCAACTGCCCAAGTGACTGCGCGCATGTGACGAGTCAGGAGAGGAGCATCATGAGCATCAGCAGGTTTTATTTCCGGCCACATGGCCCCCCCTAGACGCCAGGCGTTGAAAAACCAACTGCCCAAGTGATTGCGCGCATTTGACGAGGCAGGAGGGGAGCATCATGAGCATCAGCTGGGCATATTTCCGGCCCCATGGCCCCCCCTAGACGCCAGGCGTTGAAAAACCAACTGCCCAAGTGATTGCGCGCATTTGACGAGGCAGGAGGGGAGCATCATGAGCATCAGCTGGGTATATTTCCGGCCACATGGCCCCCCTAGACGCCAGGCGTTGAAAAACCAACTGCCCAAGTGATTGCGCGCATTTGACGAGGCAGGAGGGGAGCATCATGAGCATCAGCTGGGTATGTTTCCGGCCACATGGCCCCCCCTAGACGCCAGGCGTTGAAAAACCAGCTGCCCAAGTGATTGCGCGCATTTGACGAGGCAGCAGGAAAACATCATGAGCATCAGCTGGGTATATTTCCGGCCACATGGCCCCCCTAGACGCCAGGCGTTGAAAAACCAACTGCCCAAGTGACTGCGCGCATTTGACGAGGCAGGAGGGGAGCATCATGAGCATCAGCTGGGTATATTTCCGGCCACATGGCCCCCCTAGACGCCAGGCGTTGAAAAACCAACTGCCCAAGTGATTGCGCGCATTTGACGAGGCAGGAGGGGAGCATCATGAGCATCAGCTGGGTATGTTCCCGGCCACATGGCCCCCCCTAGACGCCAGGCGTTGAAAAACCAACTGCCCAAGTGATTGCGCGCATTTGCCGAGGCAGGAGGGGAGCATCATGAGCATCAGCTGGGTATATTTCCGGCCACATGGCCCCCCTAGACGCCTTGCGTTGAAAAACCAACTGCCCAAGTGACTGCGCGCATTTGACGAGGCAGGAGGGGAACATCATGAGCATCAGCTGGGTATATTTCCGGCCACATGGCCCCCCCTAGACGCCAGGCGTTGAAAAAACAGCTGTCCAAGTGACTGCGTGCATTTGACGAGGAAGGAGGGGAGCATCATGAGCATCAGCTGGGTATATTTCCGGCCACATGGCCCCCCTAGACGCCAGGCGTTGAAAAACCAACTGCCCAAGTGATTGCGCGCATTTGACGAGGCAGGAGGGGAGCATCATGAGCATCAGCCGGGTATGTTTCCGGCCACATGCCCCCCCCCTAGACGCCAGGCGTTGAAAAACCAACTGCCCAAGTGATTGCGCGTGTTTGACGAGGCAGGAGGGGAGCATCATGAGCATCAGCTGGGTATATTTCCGGCCACATGGCCCCCCTAGACGCCTTGCGTTGAAAAACCAACTGCCCAAGTGATTGCGCGCATTTGACGAGAGCATCATGAGCATCAGCCGGGTATATTTCCGGCCACATGGCCCCCCTAGACGCCAGGCGTTGAAAAACCAACTGCCCAAGTGACTGCGTGTATTTGACGAGGCAGGAGGGGAGCATCATGAGCATCAGCTGGGTATATTTCCGGCCACATGGCCCCCCCTAGACGCCAGGCGTTGAAAAAACAGCTGTCCAAGTGACTGCGTGCATTTGACGAGGCAGGAGGGGAGCATCATGAGCATCAGCTGGGTATATTTCCGGCCACATGCCCCCCCTAGACGCCAGGCGTTGAAAAACCAACTGCCCAAGTGACTGCGCGCATTTGACGAGGCAGGCGGGGAGCATCATGAGCTTCAGCTGGGTATATTTCCGGCCACATGGCCCCCCTAGACGCCAGGCGTTGAAAAACCAACTGCCCAAGTGATTGCGCGCATTTGACGAGGCAGGAGGGGAGCATCATGAGCATCAGCCGGGTATATTTCCGGCCACATGGCCCCCCTAGACGCCAGGCGTTGAAAAACCAACTGCCCAAGTGACTGCACGCATTTGCGTATATTTCAGAGAGCTGAGATTTTTTGGCCCATACCAGCACAGGCCTCAGATTCACACCGCCCTAATCTCCATATCTAAGCTAGCTAAGCTAGCTAACCCTGCAACCTCTAGTCTAACCTTTGCCTTTCTCTCGGTTCTCAAAGTTTGGCTCCTTGTGGCGGCAAGGTCATGCTGGCTTGGCAGATGCCAGTTCCAGGACCGAGGGGGTTTGGGGACTTGCGCGCGCCAGAGAAATCCTTGAGACGAGTCTGGAAAATCCCCCTTCTTTTCCCCCCTAATGTCCCACCAAAACCTGAACCTCCCGCCTCCCCCCCCCGAACAGCAAGAATCCCAAACCCTCGACACCAAAGCACTTCTTTCAAGGTGAACCCCAAGCCCCAAAACCTCGCAGGTTTCTACAAAACCAGCCCGACTTTCATCCGGAAACCCACCACCTAGACACCAGAGCCTTTGCAGAGGCCACAGCGAAAACCCCCCAGCCAACCCAAAGCTTCCTCCAATCCGGAACCATCCCTGAGCCCTAAACCCCAAGAAGGCCTGGCGCGGATGTTCTTCATGAAGACGCTTGCCTTGAAGTGGGCCTGTCGGGTTGCTCTGGGATTGTCTTTCTCCTTGTAATCCCCAAGCCCCGAACCCCAAGCCCCCCCAACCTCAGCCGCGTTAAAGACTCAAGCCAATGGAGCGGTGCCGACCCTAGCGCCTTCATATCGTCAACCCCCTTATACGGTTTTAACGGCCCTCCCCCCCAAACCGCCCCCCCAAAGCCGAAGTCCTCGAGCTTCTAAGCCCGCAGATCCAAGGGACTGCTCCTACCTCGAAGAGCTGTCGGACTACCCTCCATGGGAAGCCAAGTGTAAGCTGCTGGAAGAGATGATGGCGCATAAGTGATCCCTCTATCCTAAGCCCAAAATCCTCTAACTTTGAGGGAGTTTCGCGTTTAGGGCCCGGCGGGGAAGGGGAGGGCGGTCGGGATGTTTCTAGCCAAACCCCCCCCCCCCCGCCCTCCGGCCCTCAGTTCCAAAAGCCCGCTTGCTCTCCCTTTTTGGCTGATCGAGTTTCTTAGGGGCTTTCATCGTGCCTTATGAGTCGCTATCGGGTTTAGGGTTTATAGGGTTTGCAAAGGGTGATGTAGATGCCAGGGAGACATACCCGAATTGCTTGGAGAGCTCGGACAAATGGAGAAAAGCGAAGCGCTCGCTTGCGAAGTTGCCCGACATTTTCTGCGACCACCTACCTAATCCTAAACCCTAAAGCTTAATAAACCCTAAACCCTAACCCCTAAACCCTAAACCCTTAACCCTAAACCCTAAACCCTAGACCCTAAACCCTAGAGTACCCGGAAAACCGTGAAGTTTCGGGGCCGGCAACCCGCACAAAAAAGTACAAGGCCACAAGGCCTGCAGTTCTGAATCTTCAAGGCCTCAGGCCACTCAGCCCCAAAAGGGATTCTCGAAACAAACCGCCGACGTCGAGGTAGCTGAGTAACGAATATTATACCCTTACCATTCTCCTGTGTACATGACAGGTCAGTCGCGCTAGCTGGGTCCAGCAACGCCAGCCGCGTTGGCCATATGGATCAAGCGTAGCTGCTCTTCGATCCAGTCGAGTTGGTGCTTGAACATTTAGTCTTCGGACTTTCATGACCTCGCGAGCACGAAGGGCCACAGCAACACGCACGCCTCTCCTGAGCTACACTAGCCCACGCTCCCGGTCCCAGCCACCCACCAGTTTAGGGTTTCCAGGGGTTTAGGGTTTAGGGTTTAGGGTTTAGGGTTTAGGGTTTAGGGTTTAGAATTTTTGGTTGCAGGCCCAGGGAAATCGGGCCTTGGCCCTGTGCGCCCATGTCGAGCCTCCAGACCTC